GATTTAGTCAGCGATGATCCTGGGTTACATTGTAGTGTACCACTCGTAGAGGAATTTGACAACAATTTTATCTAAATTGACAAAATTTTGTTTGAGGTATAAAGAAGACACGCAAATTTACCAGAATCAAGACTGGTTAGTTGGAGAAAGAAAGAGAGAGAGAGAGAGAGAGGGGGGCATTATAGAGGGGACATTGGGAGGTATGGGGAGGAGAAGAAGGCACCCTCACTGGAATTATATTATGGAGGTAGGTGAGTCTTTGGTCGTGTGACCATTAGAATGTAGCTCATCTGTTTCCCCTTCCCTTCCCCCTGCTCAGGCTCTCCTACCTCCATAATATAATTCCAGTAACGATCTCTTCTTCTCTCCATACTACTAAGTCGCCTATAATGCCTTCTCTTTCATTCTTACTCCAACTAACCAGTATCCCACTACAAACTGATAACATAAACAATATGTTAAATCCTGCGAATTTTAAAATTAAAATTCATAGCTAAAAATGGTCATTAACTAAAGGTATCTTAATTCCAATTCTAAAGAAAATTGGCTCTGTTTAATGAAAATAAACATTAAGCGCTCTTTTGTGAGTCAGTTTTTACATATTTCAAATTCTATGTGGTGTTAATAGGACTTTCCTGTATTATTCCAATGGATGAGTACTCTCTCTCTCTTTCTCTCTCTCACTCTCTCTCTCCCTATATATATATATATATATATAAGAGATTTTATATATATATATAAAAGATTTTTTTTTTCTTTTCAACATCATCACTTGATAAGACACAGAGTGTGTTGAAACAAAATGGCTATTTTTGTAGTGATTTTATAACATACTTATGTTATAATTTTTTTTAAAATAAATATATATATATATATATATATATATATATATATATATATATATATAAGAGTGAATATAGAAGTCAACACTTAGAGGCGACAGTCTGTTTCATGCTATATATATATATATATATATTAATTTCAATTAAAAGGTGCAATTATAATTTACAAATTCATGAATCATTCATACAAAAAACAAATATACAGGTTAATGATTTAAATGGCGAGAATACATCGTCGCAAACAATATAAATAAGATACATCAATCCCGAACCTGTATATGAATGATATGATCCCTGTTTATAAATTCCAGTTGCATAAGGTCTTTTTAATTTTTTACAAGCTTTCTTCTGTTCCTACAGACATCATCAGGTATGGAAGTAGATTTTTTTCTTATTTTTACTTCTCAGTAATAAGAGGACAACGCAAATAGAGATGTAATCCGAAAAAATGCTATGAGAAATGTGTTATTGTTTTGGAACGTGCGGTCGCAACGCTGAGTTTGAATTTAAATTTAAAGGTTGTGTGTTTTTGTACAAATATAGCAATAAGAGAATTCTTTTTTACTGGTAGATTTTCCGTGAATATGGCATTTTTTATTCAAATTTATTTGCTCTGAATTTACATTGAGCTCATCATACATTGATATCATCCTCCTTGGGTCTACCCATACGGATTACCTAGTTTTGCATAAACTAACTAACTAACTAACTAACTAACTATATATATATATATATATATATATATATATATATATATATATGAAGGTATACTATATTAATGGGTAAAAGTACTCAGGGTATGAGTGTGGATAAATTTAAATGTGGACACCGAAACTAATATCACAGTGAATATTGTTTCACGAGTGAAAGTAAAATATATATATATATATATATATATATATATATATATATATATATATACATTCATACATATATATGTGTGGGGGGTGTATATGTGTCTGTGTGCAAAGCGATAATAATGATATAATTAACATGTTTACTTTCTACACTACTTTAAACAAATGGTTAGAAAGGAAACTCCAATCACTTTTAGAAAAAACGATAACAGTGGACCCGTTTAGTTTATTTTCCTGAAATAACTTTTTTAGGGGGTACGGTTTTATCAATTTCAACCGACAGAAATGCTAACTATTCAGTCAATGCTGAATATTTCTTGTATGGAAACTGCGTATTACGTCGTAGACATTAGCACTTTCGTATTGTTTTTTCTCCAAAGGTATAGTTTCAATTCAAAACGTCTGATCAGGTCAGCTGATGTTTACATATCGACCTCTTGTTGCTATATTCAATAAAGTCTTGTCACAACATTATTTCTCCTTAGATAACATGAACTTGTGATCTCGCTGTTATCTTCAAGCAGTGTGTAAATAGAGCGCGTTTCGTGGCTGGCAATTGGCCAAAGAGTAACTCGATGAAGATTCTTGTCTTGGTTGAAAATCTAGTACAAAAGAGCCCGTTCCTGATTGATTGCAGAATGAGACCAGAGGACTAGAAGAGGAAAATGACAGGAAGAAATCAAAGAATGATGGCGTTAATTAAATAAGTGACGCCATTTTATAAAAGAAGAGGCAAGGAAGGACATAGAATGTTTCATATGTAATACAGGTAATGGGATAGAGAAGAAAAACGAATCAGTAAGATAAGGAAGAAGGAAATCAGAAGTTGCTAATTGTTATGTTAGCTGGTTGACATTGTGTAGCGGTATATCAACCATGATGGGTTATTTAAGTGACGAAATCTAAATAACAATTTTTTGGCTTCAAATAAATATCTTTTGAACGCAATTGCATTCCTTCAACTAATTATAAAATATATTGCTTTTGTTCATTTTTCTTTAAAAATGTGTATTGTTGGTTATTTTTTTATATAAAAAGTATTGCTAATATTTTCTACTAAGAACTGTATTTTTAAATTCTCATAGTATTTTTTTCTTGTTTTGTTTTGAGGTTTACTATTTTCACATACATGGGACCCTAACAGGTGCTAACACCAGGGTAACCGAGGACCTGGAAACAACAGCAATTAAAAGATGGTTCCACGCTCCTCAAAATCTCCAAACTTTCCATCAGAGGCTTGCTGCCTGATGTACTTTATCTTCATACCCAGGACAGCCTTCACAAAAAGTTTGCGGAAGCACCTTGTATATATTTCATTTTTAAGATTGAAATTTTGTTCTTGTTATTGTTATTACAACTACTACTATTACTACTACTACTACAATTACTACTACTACTCTTCTATAAATATAAAATATTCTTAAACTTGCTATATATTACAAACTATTCTTTCGTGCCATGTCTTTTCTCGACGTTAGCCTTCTTTCCTCATTATGTACACGAGAAATTTCTCTTCCTGAAATTAAGCATAATATTTTTTGTTTTTTTTTCCCTAACTCTTGGAAAACTCATTTCCTTCATACATCCACGCATGCGCATTTCGCGTCAGGTATATTTTTAACAATGTCTTCCCGTAATGATTTCGTTTTTGCTCATTTTTCTAAATGATCGTTCTTGTTTCTTAGTTATTCCCTTTATCTGTTCTTGGATATATTCATCTAATAAGAGAGTAGGTTATTATTTTCTAATATATTTTTATTGGTTACTATTGTATAAGAAAAAGCGCTGTTGCCGACACTGTGGTTTGAAACTAGATCGCCTGTGAGTAACACGGGTGATTCCATTGTTAAGCAGATTACGTGATTATAGAGGAAGTGAATAAATAGGAAGTATCATGATGACGATAAGATCACGGTCCACTCTTCTTGTCTATCCACTTTTGCTATACGTTTACTTTCTCTACACTATTACTATACGGATTATGATTCTCTTCTGATCATTATACTATTTGGCGATTACTACTAGAACAAGTATTACTAATGCGGATATTATTGGAAGGCGTTACTACTAGTACCGGCGTCTACGAAGTCTCGAATATAACGCGAATTTTTGGAAGTTATAACGAGATTTCACTTGACATAGCAAAAGTGACAAGCGAAGCCGTCCAACATCACAAAAGTTACAAAACTCGAATTATATTTAATTTTTCATGAATTGAAAAAAAAATGTGCGCTTAGAATATGAAGCTGGGTGAAATAAGCTAAGATAGATAATGTTGTATTAAAAATAGACAAAAACTTTTCGGCGCTAAACTAGAATATATCCTGCTTTAGTATAATTTATTATTTTTAAGGATTTTTTTTAGCTTTATTTTTTAAAATGAATTTCCTTTAAGATGATTCCGCCTAATGTAGCTATAGGCAAGGTAATTTTTGCGGAAAATAGCATTTTTTTTCGTGAAAAATCAAACTGCGTTCTTTTTAGACAGAACTTCAATAAGATTTCCTTTTTGCTATATTAAAAATTGTTTTCTATAGTGAGGAATTATTTAACGCTTATCGGCCAAGCTTTCTGCACGCGGTAATGTACTGAATGCATTTAAATAAAGGAAACCCAGTCATCACTTCCAGTCTTGACAGAGTTCTGAAATATTTTCGTCGCCTTGCGGGTGATGAATTACTTCCCATCCAAGACCAGCTTTCCCACAGATGAAACGCTGTAAGAATGTTTCTTCTACATCACTATTTTCCCTGGTAAATGTTCTGACGAGCTACATTCATTAATTCCACAAGCCCTGACTTTCACATTTAAGACCTCTCATGTCATGTACCCTGGAAAGAACCATTATCATCCTTTTCTTATTCCGCTAGTAAGAAGAAAGTTACACTCGGGCAACCTCTACCCAAGAATCGCTGCTTGATGGATCAGACTCCCCAGAAGATGCTTCCACGATTACTACAATGTAAACTACTAAATACCGATGTCACCGTTGTCTTTTTGATATTGTGAGAATTTCTTCTCACACAGTTTAACCCTTGACAGAGACAAGAAAAGACATACAATCAACAAAGCCTACCTTAAAACTTAAAACAAATTTTATTGCATCCTTGAAAAAAAAGATTATGCCCTTTTTTGCCCCTGTGAACAGGGTGGGGTAGTTTCTTCAAAGAAGAGGTAGTGACTTTTCCTTCTGTAGGACTCAATTGGTCTCTACGAAGTTGGAGAAGCAGGAACTTGCTGGTCGTTGCTGGAGCATTACCATTTCGATTGCTGAAGTTGAAACTCGGCTATTGTCGAGATCATGCAGAAAGTTCTTCGTGTTGAACGTACACATTTGACGACAGTCAATAAACTGACTGAATTATACAACCTTGAAAGTATTGAAGAAGCTGGAACATGACGTCGTCTCAGGAGCATTACCATTTTGGTTGCTGAAGAAGAATCATTGCCTAGTTATTTAGGCTTAATTTTGGGCGCTAAAAGCCCTGCAAAGAGATTAAAAAAATGAGTCCTGACATTTCCAAGATTTGCAGCAACTAACTCAAAAGGGCACGGGCCGTTGAAAAACGCCCGCGAAAAACAAAGTCAAATTCAACCAATGAGATTGGTCGTTACAAAATACTGTGTGACATAAATTAGACAATAGGAGCTTAAATTGCAGAATTTCTCACAATATATAGTCTTAAACTGCACTTCTCATCTTCTCTTTTTACTTGCATCAATCTTAATCAGTAAGACTATCTGGAGTGGCGTTTGGCACTTCTATTGGGTGACCAATCCGTAAAATTATATTTCCTTATGAATTATACAATTTTGATCTTGCGGCTTTGTATCTTGTTTATAATTTGATCTGCTTTAGTACCTTTTGGGATGACTGAGAGGATTTGTTTAAAGTCACCAGAGAGAAACAAAGGTATTCCACCCAGCAGAGAATCATTGTTTCTAATGTCTCTTAGTGTTCTATCCAAAGCTTCAGAAGCTCTCATAGAGCATTCATCCCAAAACAATCAACTAAGACTTTTTGATAACTTGTGCAATTCCAGAATTCTTTGGTATATTGCACATAGGATTTTCCTTCCTGTTCAGGTCCAGTAGAAGTTTGAAGGTTGAATGAGCTGTTCTAGTCCCCAGGTAATAATGCATCAGCAATCCAAGACCAAGCAACCACAATACGTTTTTGACTTCTTACCGTACGCCAACAGTAAGGTGGTAACATTTTTTTCCTGTTTCACCAGGTGCATCTACGAAGAATTTTAGCTGTTGCAATTAAAGAATGTAATCCAAAATCCATAATCAGTCAGTTATGTGTCATGCGTGGTACACGCTTAGGCGTTCATGTATCTTTCGATACATGACTGACAAGACAGATTTTTTTTCCAGCAGTAGGATGCCTTTTCTTTCTGCAATAGACCAGTTGCCATAGAAGTCTGGTCTGAACTGCTATTTACCCATAGCTAGGGGAGAAGAAGAGGATTCATACCTTTCGCAAGGGAATGATCACGTAAGTGAATGCAATGGATTTGACTGGTATTCGAACTCGTCTCGCCGATTCCTCAACCCAAGACACTATTCATTACTCCACCATACTAAATAAGAAAGCAAAATGTTAAAATAAACTGTTTCAACATCCAACTTGTCTTCATGTATTAGTTTTTTTACATACTTTGATATTTTAACACAATTAGGAAAATATAAGTTTCCCTTTTATCTTTATTCATATTGTCTTTTTACATATATATTCTTAGTTATATCTAAAATTTTACATATATACATATATATATGTGTGTGTGTGTTTGTGTGTGTGTGAGTGTGTGTGTACGTGTGTGTTTGTGTAAATTATTATCGACAGAATGAATCTGTAAAAAAAATAATTAAATAAAAAGAGACAAAAGGAAAAACTATTCTTAGCCGAGGCATTTCGTCTCATGAACGACTTTATCAATGCAAATATAGGATTTATTTTTTGTACGTATTTGTATACAAGAAAAAGGATGTCATTGGTTTAAAGTATCCCACAGTGAGTGCTAATGGTAATAAACAATGCTCGATGTATAAGGAAGGACCCAAAATTTATAATATTAATAAATATAAATTTTGTTCTTCACCATTTAACTCAACACTTCAATCCGCGCCTTGTACAGGAAACTCAGAGTTGTCCTAAAAATTAACAAAAACAAAATATATATTATTTGAATTCCCTGAAATACATCTTCTGGATGGTTTGGCACACATTGTCAGTGACGTTTTTAACTGCAGGTTTCAGGTTCTCCAGTGGCAGAGTCGATACCGACTGGGTAATGGTTTGTGGGTCATCCATCAGCAACAACATTCCTCATCTTAAGTAATACGCTGCTTTTTCCTCATCTTAAGTAATACACAGTTTATTCCTCATCTTAAGTAATACACTGCTTTTTCCTCATCAGAAGTCAAAAACGTATTGTGGTTGGTTGGTCATGGATTGCTGACCAAGTAATACACAGTTTATTCCTCATCCTAAATAATAAACTACATTTTCCTCATCTTCAGTAATACACTGCTTTTCCCTCATCTTAAGTAATACACAGTTTATTCCTCAGCCTAAATAATAAACTACTTTTTCCTCATCTTCAGTAATACACTGCTTTTTCCTCATCTTAAGTAATACACAGTTTTTCTCATCTTCAGTAATACACTGCTTTTCCCCATCTTAAGTAATACACAGTTTTTTTCCTCATCTTCAGTAATACACTGCTTTTCTCTCATCTTAAGTAATACACAGTTTATTCCTCATCCTAAATAATAAAATACTTTTTCCTCATCTTCAGTAATACACTGCTTTTTCCTAATCTTAAGTAATACGCAGTTTGTTCCTAATCTTCAGTAATACACTGCTTTTTCCTCATCTTAACTAATACACAGTTCTTTCTTCATCTTCAGTAATACACTGCTTTTTCCTCATCTTAAGTAATACACTGCTTTTTCCTCATCTTAAGTAATAAACAGTTTTTGCTCATCTTTAGTAATACATTTCTTTTTCTTCATCTTAAGTAATATATTGCTTTTTCCTCATCTTAAGTAATACACAGTTTATTCCTCATCTTAAATAATACACTATTTTTTCCTCATCTAAAGTAATACACAGTTTATTCCTCATCATGAATGATACACAATTTTTTATCGTAAGTAATACACAGTTTTTTCCACATCTTAAGCAATACACTGCTGTTTCTTCATCTTAAGTAATACACGGTTTTTCTCATCTTCAGTAATACACTAGTTTTTCCTCATCTTAAGTAATGCACAGTTTATTCCTCATCTTAAGTAATACACTGCTTTTTCCTCATCAGAAGTCAAAAACGTATTGTGGTTGGTTGGTCATGGATTGCTGACCAAGTAATACACAGTTTATTCCTCATCCTAAATAATAAACTACATTTTCCTCATCTTCAGTAATACACTACTTTTTCCTCATCTTAAGTAATACACAGTTTTTTCCTCATTTTAAATAATACACTGCTTTTTCCTCATTTTAAGTAATACACTGCTTTTTCCTCATGTTAAGTAATACATAGTTTTGCTCATTTTTAGTAACACATTGCTTTTTTCTCATCTTAAGTAATACACTGCTTTTTCCTCATCTTAAGTAATACACAGTTTAATCCTCATCCTAAGTAATACACTGCTTTTTACTTATCTTAATACACAGCTTTTTCCTCCACTTAAGAAATACACTACTTTTTTCCTCATCTAAAGTAATACACAGTTTATTCCTCATCCTAAATAATGAACTACTTTTTCCTCATCTTCAGTAATACACTGCTTTTTCCTCATCTTAAGTAATACACAGTTTTTCTGATCTTTAATGATACTCTGCTTTTTCCTCATCTTAAGTAATACGCAGTTTTTTCTTCATCTTCAGTAATACACTGCTTTTTCCTCATCTAAAGTAATACACAGTTTATTCCTCATCATGAATAATACACAATTTTTTATCGTAAGTAATATACAGTTTTTTCCACATCCTAAGCAATACACTGCTGTTTCTTCATCTTAAGTAATACACGGTTTTTCTCATCTTCAGTAATACACTAGTTTTTCCTCATCTTAAGTAATACACAGTTTATTCCTCATCCTAAATAATGAACTACTTTTTCCTCATCTTCAGTAATACACTGCTTTTTCCTCATCTTAAGTCATACACAGTTTTTCTCATCTTCAGTAATACACTGCTTTTTCCCCATCTTAAGTAATACACAGTTTTTTCCTCATCTTCAGTAATACACTGCTTTTCTCTCATCTTAAGTAATACACAGTTTATTCCTCATCCTAAATTATAAAATACTTTTTCCTCAATTCAGTAATACACTGCTTTTCCTCATCTTAACTAATACACAGTTCTTTCTTCATCTTCATTAATACACTGCTTTTTCCTCATCTTAAGTAATACACTGCTTTTTCCTCATCTTAAGTAATAAACAGTTTTTGTCATCTTTAGTAATACATTTCTTTTTCCTCATCTTAAGTAATATACTGCTTTTTCCTCATCTTAAGTAATACACAGTTTATTCATCATCTTAAATAATACACTACTTTTTTCCTCATCTAAAGTAATACACAGTTTATTCCTCATCCTAAATAATGAACTACTTTTTCCTCATCTTCAGTAATACACTGCTTTTTCCTCATCTTAAGTAATACACAGTTTTTCTCATCTTCAAAGATACACTGCTTTTTCCTCATCTTAAGTAATACGCAGTTTTTTCCTCATCTTCAGTAATACACTGCTTTTCTCTCATCTTAAGTAATACACAGTTTATTCCTCATCCTAAATAATAAAAATACATCTTTTTCTCATCCCTTCAGTAATACACTGTTTTTTCCTCATCTTAAATAATAAAATAGTTTTTTCCACATCTTCAGTAATACACTGCTTTTTCCAATCTTAAGTAATACACAGTTTGTTTCTTCACTGCTTTTTTCCACATAATACACTGCTGTTTCTTCATTCGGTTTTTCATCTTCAGTAATACACTAGTTTTTCCTCATCTTAAGTAATACACAGTTTATTCCTCATCTTAAGTAATACACTGCTTTTTCCTCATCAGAAGTCAAAAACGTATTGTGATTGGTTGGTCATGGATTGCTGACCAAGTAATACACAGTTTATTCCTCATCCTAAATAATAAACTACATTTTCCTCATCTTCAGTAATACAACTACTTTTTCTTCATCTTAAGTAATACACAGTTTATTCCTCAGCCTAAATAATAAACTACTTTTTCCTCATCTTCAGTAATACACTGCTTTTTCCTCATCTTAAGTAATACACAGTTTTTCTCATCTTCAGTAATACACTACTTTTTCCCCATCTTAAGTAATACACAGTTTTTTCCTCATCTTCAGTAATACACTGCTTTTCTCTCATCTTAAGTAATACACAGTTTATTCCTCATCCTAAATAATAAAATACTTTTTCCTCATCTTCAGTAATACACTGCTTTTTCCTAATCTTAAGTAATACGCAGTTTGTTCCTAATCTTCAGTAATACACTGCTTTTTCCTCATCTTAACGAATACACAGTTCTTTCTTCATCTTCAGTAATACACTGCTTTTTCCTCATCTTAAGTAATACACTGCTTTTTCCTCATCTTAAGTAATAAACAGTTTTTGCTCATCTTTAGTAATACATTTCTTTTTCCTCATCTTAAGTAATATACTGCTTTTTCCTCATCTTAAGTAATACACAGTTTATTCATCTGCTTTTTCCCTTAAATAATACTTTTTTTTTTCCTCATCTAAAGTAATACACAGTTTATTCCTCATCCTAAATAATGAACTTTTTCCTCATTTTTACCTCATCTTCAGTAATACACTGCTTTTTTTCCTCATCTTAAGTAATAAACACTTTTTTTTTCTCATCTTTTTTAATGATACACAGTTTGCAGTTTTTTCCTCATCTTAAGTAATACGCAGTTTTTTCTTCATCTTCAGTAATACACTGCTTTTTCCTCATCTTAAGTAATACACAGTTTATTCCTCATCCTAAATAATAAAATACTTTTTCCTCATCTTCAGTAATACACTGCTTTTCTCTCATCTTAAGTAATACACAGTTTATTCCTCATCCTAAATAATAAAATACTTTTTCCTCATCTTCAGTAATACACTGCTTTTTCCTAATCTTAAGTAATACACAGTTTGTTCCTCATCTTCAGTAATACACTGCTTTTTCCTCATCTTAAGTAATACACAGTTTGTTCCTCATCTTCAGTAATACACTGGTTTTTCCTCATCTTAAGTAATACACAGTTTTTTCATCTTCAGTAATACACTGGTTTTTCCTCATCTTAAGTAATACACAGTTTATTCCTCATCTTAAATAATAAACTACTTTTTCTTCATCTTCAGTAATACATTGCTTTTTCCTCATCTTAAGTAATACACAGTTTTTTCTCATCTTAAGTAATACACTGCTTTTTCCTCATCTTAAGTAATACACAGTTTATTCCTCATCCTAAGTAATAAAACTTTTTTTCCTTTTTCCCTCATCTTCAGTAATACACTGCTTTTTTCATCCTCATCTTCTTTAGTAATACACAGCTTTTTTTCTCATCTTAAGTAATACACTGTTTTTTCCTCATCTTAAATAATACACATTTTTTCCTCATCTTCAGTAATATAACTGCTTTTTTCCTCATCTAAAGTAATACACAGTTTATTCTTCATCTTGAATATTACACAGTTTTTTATCGTAAGTAATACACAGTTTTTTCCTCATCTTAAGCAATACACTGCTTTTTCCTCATCTAAAGTAATACACAGTTTTTTTCTCATCTTCAGTAATACATTGCTTTTTCCTCATCTTAAATAATACACAGTTTTCTCATCTTCAGTAATACACTGCTTTTTCCTCATCTTAAGTAATACACTCATCCTTTTCCTCATCTTAAGTAATACAGGTTTTTCATCTTCTTTTTTTCCTCATCTTAAAATAATATTTTTTTTCTCATCTTCAGTAACACATTGCAGTTTTTTTCATCTCATCTTAAGTTTTTTCCTCATCTTAATACACTGCTTTTTCCTCATCTTAAGTAATACAAAGTTTTTGCTCATCTTTAGTAATACATTTCTTTATCCTCATCTTAAGTAATATACTGCTTTTTCCTCATCTTAAGTAATACACAGTTTGTTCCTCATCCTAAGTAATACTCTGCTTTTTACTTATCTTAATAGACAGCTTTTTCCTCATCTTAAGTAATACACAGTTTTTTCAACTTCAGTAATACACTGGTTTTTCCTCATCTTAAGTAATACACTGTTTTTACTTCATCTTAAGTAATACACAGTTTTTGCTCATCTTTAGTAATACATTGCTTTTTCCTCATCTTAAGTAATACACTGTTTTTCCTCATCTTAAGTAATACACTGCTTTTTCCTCATATTAAGTAATACACAGTTTATTCCTTATCCTAAATAATACACTACTTTTTTCCTCATCTAAATTAATACACAGTTTATTCCTCATGAATAATACACAGTTTTTTTATCGTAAGTAATACACAGTTTTTTCCTCATCTTAAGCAATTCACTGCTTTTTCCTCATCTTAAGTAATACACAGTTTTTTCTCTCATCTTCTGTAATACATTGCTTTTTCCTCATCTTAAATAATACACAGTTTTTCTAATCTTCAGTAATACACTGCTTTTTCCTCATCTTAAATAATACACAGTTTTTGTCATCTTAAGTAATACACTGCTTTTTTATATCTTAAGTAATACACTACTTTTTTCGATCTTAAGTAATACACAGTTTTTTCATCTTAATTTATGTTGCTTTTAAATGAAAACTTTCTAACCTTCATGCAAGTTTATGGAAATAGACGCTAGAGTTGGTGTTAACCATAGGAAAAATAACTTTTACAATTCTAATTCTTGACCTTAGGTATCTCACATGCAGTAAGTATCTAAACAGACGTTCTATCTATCTATCTATCTATCTATCTATCTATCTATCTATCTATCTAAGTCTGTTCCTATCTATCTATCAATGTCTATTCAGATCTATCTATCTATTTATGTCTGTTCAGATCTATCTATCTATCTATCTATCTATCTATCTATCTATCTATCTAAGCTATTCTCTTCATTTTCTGTCTACCTATCTATCTATGTCTATTCTATTCATCCATTCATCTATCTATCTATCTATCTATCTATCTATCTATCTATTTCAGTCTGTCCCTATCTATCTATCTATCTATTTATCTATGTCTATTCAGATCTATCTCTCTATCTATCTATCTATGTATGTTCAGATCTATCTATCTATCTATCTATCTATCTATCTATCTATCTATCTATCTATCTAAGCTATTCTCTTCATTTCCTATCTACCTATCTATGTCTATTCAGATCTATCTATCTATCTATCTATCTATCTATCTATCTATCTATCTATTTCAGTCTGTCCCTATCTATCTATCTATCTATCTATCTATGTCTATTCAGATGTATCTATCTATCTATCTATCTATCTATCTATCTATCTATCTATCTATCTATCTATCTGAAGCTTCGTTGACAAAATAAAGGGAGAAACGGAAGGGAAAAATTGAATACGAAAAAATTTGTTTCAAGAAAATAGTTTGAGGTTAATGGTCTTCGGCCGCTTTTACTTGGCGATGCAGTTCATTAAAGAGGATCTATACATAGTACCATCAAAATTCTGTTTGGGGCAAATCCTACGCTCCTATACAAATAGACATTTTACCTGCCTCGTACGTGGGCAGCGGTAGAACTTGCCTGCAAGTATATAAATGGAACATCTGATATATTCTCTCCATTTCCCGCGATAAGAATTCAGATCCAAGCATCGATAACGATATTTCAATGCTGTATTTACTCTGTCGGAGTTAATGGCGACCTTTTTACTTGATGTCCTTACAGCACTACTGACATATCAAAGTACAGGAATACCTCCATTATTACGGCTAATATGTGCATTAAAAGATACGCACTAATCGAAAAGACGTTAATCGAATAACTTATAGGAAATTATGTAATTTGTACATCAAATTTTAGCCTCGTTATCAATTAATTTCTAATTTGCGTAGTTTTTAATTAAAATATAGGAACATTCAAGAAGATACAATAAAAATGCTATGAATTAATGTTTATTAATCTGATTTTCTATGAAAACCTTGTGGTTTGTCGCATGATATTCTTCTCTTCTTCATATAATTGGCGATAACCTCAACGTGGTGTAATGGTTAGCAAGCTTGCCGCTCTATAAACCATTACAACTGAGTAGTGAGTTCAATCCTCACTGGGTGCCCCATACTTTAGACCTTGTGCCACATGTAAGCTACGCTTAGAAAAAAAATGAGCATTTCGGCGTGGTGTAATGGTTACGAAGCTTGTCTTGCTAGATCAGTTACGACTGAAAAGTAAGTTCAATCCTTACTAAATGCTCCATACTTTCGGCCTTGTGCAACATCCTAGCTACGCTTAGAAAATCAATATAATTGGCGGTACGGAGAAATTGGGGCCTCAAATTTTCCAAACAGGTAATCATTAGTATTTTAACCTGTAAAGTTTTTTCCATAGCTTTCTATTTCAGTATTTTTAATAAATATAGATTTCTATCCAATAAAACAATTTTAACAATATATATGCAATTTCCTTTTAAAATCTGCATAGCAAACATGAAAAAAATAAAAATAAAAATATTCAAAAAGTTTTAATCCATACAAATATTCAAATATATATATTTGTTATCGGCTTATATTATAAAAATTATCTATATATAACTGTCTATTTTTTAACAATACCGTAATTACTTACATAACGCAATAATTGACAAACAAAATAAAATTTTCCATTTTTTAAATTTTAGAAAATTTTTAATTAAACAGTAAATATAAAAAATATTAATTTTCAATTACTATGGTTAAACTGAAGAATATTTTACCGTACTAATCTAGTATTATGTTTGCACTAATTGAATGTTGGTAGATAAAAATTTTAGCGCACTCATCTAAAATGTATTAATCGAGGAATTCCTGTATATATCTCTCTGTTGATCGATCGATTTGTTCCCATATCGCATTCTGTTCAGATTTATTGATTATCGTGTCAGTCTGTTTTCTTCCTTCTATCAATGAGTCGATCGATCTATACATATGTCTCTATATTTATCTGCATAAGTTCCTAGCGATTTTATGCTAAAAAATAATATAGTATCTTATTGTTGATATAATTCTCGTGAAAGACTGTGCTATGAAACTTTGCATGTATGCACTAAATATGTATGAAGGCTATTAAATGCTTTCGTGTTTAATTCTTTTAGAATGCATTCTTATATTGTGATATAATTCACATTATATATGTGCGAGAAAAGTAAATGCCACAACATCGTTTCCATCAGTCTTGGGTTATCACTGTTCGAATTGTATACATGCGCACACAATTTAATGCTGATTTTGAAGGCTTACAGCTGTCCTAACCGAGAAATTGACGCTACATAATCTTTTGACATGTCATGGATTTTTCTTTTTGTCCAGATAGAGTTTGGATTCTTAAATATTTCGTCTAATGTTTCGAAGAAATTTGAACACAAAATGGGTTCGTCCCCGCCACTAAAAAAAAAAGAGGGAAACATACGGAAAGTAATGTTCCTTATACCCTGTTGTCCTGGGTATGACGATAAATTACATTTGGCAGCAAGGAGTCGGATCGGGAGAATTTGAGGAGTTTGGAACAACCTCTTAATTGCTTTTCATCCTAGGTCCGTCCTGACCCGGAGTGGTAACACCTGTTAGGGTCCTAGCTATGGGCAAATAGTGAACTCCCAAACTGGGGTCAAAAGATCATGAAAATAAATAAATAAAAAATAAATTTTCATAAAAAAAATAGCAATAGATTTTTTAAAATATGAATAAATAAATTACCAGCAACAGATTTTTGTAAAACAAAACAAATTATCAACAATAGATTTTTGTAAAACAAAAAATTACTCCAACTTTCAAGAAAATTAAATTTCAGTATTAAATGATTCATAAAGAGTTGATATGCCGTTAAACAAATAAACTTATATCCCGGTGGATTTATTTCCAGAGATGCATGAAATATACAGAGAAACGGTACGTAAAACGAAGGACGAACAAACTAAACAACGCGTTCGAATCCTTGTAGGTTTCGGCTTTAGGTTTTGTGTTTAGGATTTAGGTTTAGGTTTTAGGTTTAGGATGTGGGTTTTAGGTTTAGGATTTGGGTTTAGGTTTTAGATTTTGGGGTCTAGGATTTGGGTTTAGGTTTTAGATTTTGGGTTTAGGTTTAGGTTTTAGGCTTTACTTTTAGGTTTAGGTTTTGGGTTTAGGTTTAAGTTTTAGGTTTAGTTTTGGTTTTTTAGGTTTAGGCTTTACTTTTTAGGTTTAGGTTTGGTTTAGGTTTTAGGTTTTGGGTTTGGGTTTTGGGTTTAGGTTTTGGTTTTTAGGTTTTAGGCTTAGGTTTTAGGCTTTACTTTTAGGTTTAGGTTTTGGGTTTAGGTTTAGGTTTTGGGTTTAGGTTTTAGGTTTAGGTTTTGGTTTTTAGGTTTTAGGCTTTACTTTTAGGTTTAGGTTTTGGGTTTAGGTTTAGGTTTTGGGTTTAGGTTTTAGGCTTAGGTTTTGGTTTTTAGGTTTTAGGCTTAGGTTTTAGGCTTTACTTTTAGGTTTAGGTTTTGGGTTTAGGTTTAGGTTTTGGGTTTAGGTTTTAGGTTTAAGTTTTGGTTTTTAGGTTTTAGGCTTAGGTTTTAGATTTAGGCTTAAGTTTCGGGTCGCATTCAGTTAATTTATCGCTATTAACTGAGATTGTTTATTTAGAGTTTCTAAATTAGTAACTTTGCAATCCCAAAAGAATATCTTCTATTTTGAAAAGAGGGAAAAATCCAGAGACCAACAAGCTCAAAAGTATTAAAACTCCAACTTTGATCGAGGATCCGTAGATAATGACACCCGGAGTATGTGTGTAAAACTATAATTAATCATATTAAGGTGTTGTTCTTCATTACTGTTGATTTAGTATGTGTGTTTTTTTGGGTTTTTTTTATAGTGCAAGGTCTTTGTGTTTGGCTGAATATTTTGGTTCTAAATGATTAGTTCTGAACCGCATTGATTTTCTGAGTCTTTGATCTCAAATATAAAAGCCTAATTCTGCGGAGGGATCTTCAGTGCATTGGTTCGCATACACACGATCGCCATTTATAATTTTTATATTTTCAAGCATCGTCACAAATGAATTCTACGTGAATATTAACAGAGGATCAAAAGAGATTTTAATAATGATTTGCAGGAAGCTTCCGCTATAAAATATTTTCCATGTCCCTCCCGATGGTTCCGGGATTTTTCAGGACCGTTTTAATTGTCTTGGCAGGTCGGATATTTCTATTCACGCTCATATTTAGTAGTTTGTATTAACCACGTTTTAATTAATGTTGTTTTTTTTTAACATCCGTCTCTTCGTATCTGCCGCATGAACTAAACTGATATTTCTAGCTTTCACAATCAAATAGTTATTTGAATATTGATCACTGCCTTAAGTCGGGCTGAATCTACAGAATGGTCCGAAAGTCTTGTCACCCGTCGCTATTTTCCAAACTATAGAAGCTGGTATTTACTAACCTCCCCACAAGGCAGGATGTCGCACAAAGCCGATTTTTATGTGGGGCGAATCCAAGCCCGTAGGCTCGGGCAAAAATTCCCCGTAGACCTGGCCTACACGGGAGACTCATCTTCGTCTGGGTTCCTCTCTAACCGAAGGCAGAGAGTTCAAAAATCAGCCGAAAGCCTGGCAGCGAACTGTCTGTAGCGCACGGATAGCGTATGGATAGCGGCTCGGATTAAGGAATCGGAGGGCCGAGTTCGACTTCCAGTCGAATCCATTACATTCACTTACGTGCTAATACCCTTAGGGAAGGTATAAATCCTCTTCTTCTCCCCCCCCGGTATGTGTAAATAGCATGACATACCGGGTTCTATAGCCTTGGATGGCAACTTGTCTACTGCAGAAATTAATGGCAACCTAATGCGGGACAAAATCTGTCTCGTCAGTCATGTATCGAAAGATACCTGATCGCCTAAGCATGTGTCACGCATGGCACATAACTAACTGCGCTCAGATTTGGCACAAGTCCAAAGCATGGGCCAACGAGTGAGGTTTGAAATCGTAATTGTTCTAGTAAGACAAGCTTGCTAACCGTTACACCACGGCGAAGTGCCCCCAAGCTGTAGTCAGGCATAATAGAAAATTATATTTGTACGGGTGACAAGACTTTCGGAACGCCCTGTTATGCTTCTGCATTATTAAAAAAAAATGGCAGCAAGGTTCAACAGCAGCAGCAGTAAGAAAAAAGTCAAACGTGACAAACAACAACAGTATTAATGTCAGCAGCAGGGTGATTGTGTTTAAGGCCTCAGGTTCTAAAACCAGGATTGTCCCACAATAGCGTAGTGGATTAAACCGTTAGTTCTTGAATTTGGCAAACATGAATTGTGAGTTCAAATTCTGGGCTGGTAGTACGGATTTAGATTCAGTGGAAACAAG